TCTAGCCAAATGTTGCAGACAGAAATATGAGCCAGACACATCCCTGCGTACCATTGACTTACAGGGATTAAAGGGAAATGAGGCTTGGCCCAGGAGGACCAAGAGAACAGATGAAGAATAACAGCATCTGAATTAGTCAGCAGCCATGGCTATGGAGACCAGGTGATACCTTTGAGAAATATTTAGAAGGTGGAATCCACAGGATTCCATTTGTAACAGCACGTGGGACAAGAGAGGAACCCAGAAAGATGCTAAAAGTTTCAGGCCTATCAGAGACCCAGACAAAGTGGCTGGATTTAATGTGGGTCACACTCTTGTCACTGAGAGTAAATACTCAGTTTCACATGTCATCATTAGTCAGAAGGCATTGTAAGAAATTCACAGAGGAAATTAGAGGTTTCTTGCCTACCACTCTAGCCAAAGAGGTACTGAGACTTGCCCTGAATACTCTCTAGTTAATCCTGGTTACCTATCAGATGCAAATGAGACCTTGCTTTGACCTTATAATATATCATATCTAGCTAGCACTGAAGGGGATGGGCTGTGAGACAATTTTAATCGAGGCCGAATGTATTTACAAATAAATTCTGCTTTTCTTTTAATAAATCTCCCATGGCAAACAGTGTGACTTTTCTCCTTTCAGCCATGCCTGGACAGAAGAGATCGTGTCTTCCTTTGCACCAGCATGGCAGTCTATGGCAGGTCCCCATTTTCTTGATATATTGCTTCTTGACCGACTTCAAACTTCTTGAGGGCAGAGACCATGACAGTTCAACTCGGATTTGTAGCACCCGGCATAAGGCCCGATTTAAAGAGAAAAATAGGATCTAACTGTTAAGTGAACTAACGCTTCTTTATTGCCTTTTCTCATGTGGGCCCCACTTTGGAAAAAAGAAATGGAGAACTTAGAGGTCTTGCAAATAATATATTGGAAACTTCAGGAAAATATCTAAGCAAGATTTAACAACAGGGACCGTCACGGATTAAGCAGTGACTGACTAAAACCCAAGGCCATTGAACTGAGCACCTCTGGAGGCCACCGATCTCATTAGTCTGCAAAAATGGCTTCACAACGATGTGAACAGCGCCCCCTAGAGTTACTAAGATGAAGCTTTGCTATCTGGTCAGGAAGCCTAGGCTTAACTTTAACAACTGAGCCATCCACTTGCCTTTCAGGGTCTTGGTTCACTCAACTATAAAACAAAGTGGACTGGCTCAATATTTCCCATCATTCTGTGGGTTAAAGCCCCTTTCATAACAATAATTTCATGAAAGCTCTCAGTTAAAAAATTTCATTTTATTATGGTATAAAGTTTTTAAAGATTGCAATACAAAATTTAATATAAACTTTACAATATCCCTAACATAGCTAAGTAAATTTGTACTTTTTCCATTTGAGAAGTACCATGTTACTTCATTAAGATTAAACTGAACATGTTAGCATCAAGGAGGAACTACATGAAGCAAGTGAAAAAGACAGTTTTTAAAGAATGGAATGAAACATTTTTTGGACAAAGGTTATAGTTACATTGTATTATGTTCAGGATTTTGTATACTTTAGGAAGTCAAAGTATACTAAAATTTAGAATTACATTTAACTATGTGTTATACCCAAACAAAAATCAACCAAAATATATGATTTAAGGTTTGTAATTATTACATCTGATTTGGTTTTATTACTAAGCAAATAGGGATATGAGAAAGAGTATCAAGTTAGTATTTGTGAGCAATTCTCTGCAAATAGCACATTGCCAATCAGTGACAATGAATGAAAAACTAAATCAGGCCGGGCGGTGGCTCACACCTGTAATCCCAACACTTTGGGAGGCTGAGGCTGGTGGATCACCTGAGGTCAGGAGTTTGAGACCAGCCTGGCCAACATGGTGAAACCCCATTTCTACTAAAAATGCAAAAATTAGCTGGGCGTGGTGGCAGGCGCCTGTAATCTCAGCTGCTCAGGAGGCTGAGGCAGGAGAATCGCATGAACCCAGGAGGTAGAGGTTGCAGTGACCCAAGATCACACCACTGCACTCCAGACTGGGCAACAGACAGAGACTCCAACTCAAAAAAAAAAAAAGAAGAAAAAAGAAAAGCGAAGTTATATATAATCTTATCTAAATATAAACATATGTATATGTTTGTATAAATATGTCTATATAAGTACATGTGTATATACATATGTGTGTGTGTGTATGTGTGTGTGTGTGTGTGTGTGTACATATATTTGAGACTGAGTCTTGCTCTGTCACCCAGGCTGGAGTACAGTGGCATAATCACAGCTCACTGCAATCTTGAACTGGGCTTAAGCAATCCAGTCCTCAGCCTCCCAAGTAGCTGGGACTACAGGTGTGTACCACCACAGTCAGCTTATTTTTTCTTTTTAACACAGAACTATGAGATACATTCTGATGTACTTCAAATGCTAAGCAGATGAATACAATATATGGTTTGGTGAAGATAATCTTGAGGAACACTGACAAAATTATTATCATTTTAACGCCTTTTGTTTCAACATCAACGTCCCTTTGTCAGCATCTGTGATCTATATATCATCTGTCTATTTCCAAAGACCATTATGAGCTCACACCTGTAATGTCAGCACTTTGGGAGGCCAAGGCGTCAGATCCCTTGAGGTCAAGAGTTTGAAACCAGCCTGGCCAACATCGTGAAGCCCTATCTCTACTAAAAATACAAAAATTAGCTGGACATGGTGGCACCCACCTGTATTCTCAGCTATTCAGGAGGCTAAGGCAGGAGAATCACTTGAACCGGGAGGAAGAGGTTGCAGTGAGCTGAGATCATAGCACTGCACTCCAGTCTGAGGCAGAGAACGAGACTCCACCTCAAAACAAATGAACAAAGACCATAATGATTATATGAATTAGGCAAAGTAGACAATTAAATGGATGACAGTTGAAAACAGTTATAGCATAAGACAATGTTCAGATGAGAAACAAACCAACACTCACCCTGAAGTTTCCAAAGAATTCTTTTTTTTTTTTTCTCGATTTGGCACCCAGGCTGGAGTGTGGTGGTGCAATCTCAGCTCTCTGCAACCTCCACCTCCTGGGTTCAAGCTATTCTCCTGCCTCAGCCTCCAGAGTAGCTGAGATTACAGGCATGCACCACCATGCCTGGCTAATTTTTTGTATTTTTAGTAGAGATGGGGTTTCACCATGTTGGTCAGGCTGGTCTCGAACTCCTGACCTCGTGATCTGCCCACATCAGCCTCCCAAAGTGCTGGGATTACAGACTCAAACCACCCTGCCTGGCCCAAAGAATTCTTAAAAAGCAAATTGATTTATTGTTAACATTTAAATTGAAATTAAACTAGGCATCGTAAAGCTGTTAATGATGCAATAACTTTTTTGGTAGAAGGTCTTTTCTGTCTCCCAGGGGACTATAGCCATGGTCCCTTGTTTACATATTGTCTATGGCTGCTTTAACACCACAGTGGGAGAGGTGAACGGATCCACAAAAGTCTTCTAGCCCACAATACCTATTCATTATATAGCCCGTGGCAGAAAAGTTTACCGATCTTTCTTCCAGAAAATTGATATGCATCTATGAAGAAAACAGACAAAAAATGTGGAGTCTATTTTCAAGCAGAAAGACACAGAATAAACAATAAACATAAACAATTAGTATATCAGAAGAGGGTAAGTGCAGTGTAAAATAAAAAAGAGGCCTTGGTGGGGCATGTTGGCTCACACCTGTAATCCCAGCACTTTGGGAGTACAGGCGGGAAGATCACGAGGTCAGGAGTTCGAGACCAGCCTGGCCAATATGGTGAAACCCCATCTCTACTAATAAAACAAAAATTAGTCGCGTATGGTGGTGCACACCTGTAGTCTCAGCTACTCAGGAGGCTGAGGCAGGAGAATTGCTTGAACCCAGGAGGCGGAGGTTGCAGTGAGCCAAGATTGCGCCACTGCACTCCAACCTGGGTGACAGAGTAGGATTCCGTCTCAAAAAAAAAAAAGAAAGAAAAGAAAAGAAAAGAAACCAGGAAAGTTCGGACTGGGAGTGCAGGGGTCAAAAGGGTAGCAGTTTGCAATACTAAATTTCATTTTTATGTCTTCCTAGCCATAGCTTAAATCTTACCTAACCTTGCAGCAGAAGCATTTCAAATCTAAAAATCACTCATGTGTCATAGGGAATGTACTATGGAATCTAATTCTCCAGGAAAGGGTAGACAGAAAAAGTGGATTTGCATTTTCATGCCGAAGAGCAGTGGTGTGTTGGAGAATAATTGTTTTCACCATTCTTTTTGAGACATGGAGAACCTGGCGTGCGGGGCCACTTCTGAAGTCAGACAGTTTGAGGTTTAATTATCTCTTCTATTACTAATCATCTGAGTAGCCTTGAGCAAATTGATAGTAAACCTCTCTGAGCCTAAGGTTCCCCATTTATAAAATGGAGATAACCCCTACCTCATATGCTGCAAGAATAAAACGGATAAAGTTTCCTGTAAGAGCCTGACACAGGGCATACACTTGATAGGTGCTCGAGAAATGTTCCTTCCCCTCACTCCTAATGAAATTAAATACTTGGCTCCCAATCAAAGATTTTGGATAGTGCCCTTTAACCTTCTGTTAATTTCTGAAAAGCCCCAACTCAATCCAAATCAGGCAAAACTAACAGCAAACGACCAGCAGAGTATTCGACAGAGAGATTCCCCGCTTCCTTAGACAGGCCTGCCCACAGAAGTGATGGCTTTTCCTGAGTGTTTTATGATCACGCCAGATTATTTTATTGCACATATATTTCTTTTTTATGTCTTTCCACCACCCCCTCTCACCACTACCACCAATTTTGTTCTCTGTTGATTTCTCTTAAACCCTTAAGTGGTACCATGATGCAGTTGCGTGAGTCATCCTTCCATCCTTCACTGGGTTCCTGTGACATAAAAAAGGGCTAAATTAAATGTCAGAAGTGGCACTTTATTTTCTTTGATAAACTATAGAAATAAACACTTCTTCATTTGTTTTTCTTCCCAGGGTCAGACGAATGGGCAGTAAATTTGGAGCAGTGTTTGTCTTAAATTTGCCTTATATGTGATCTTTATTTTGAAATATTTACAAAATAATTTTGACCTTTAAACTCTTTTCCACTATGTTCTTATTAAATAAAAATTTTAATTGTTTTATATTTTAGCCTTTTAAAATTAACCTTTTTCTAATTTATATATTATGACATACAAATTGAAATTGTATTATTGTTATAGAAATTTTAAAATTTGAAATATAAACTTACAGTGAATGAATGTTGTCATTAAGTTTCTCTTGTTCCCTGTGTGATGTTTCATTAAACTGTAATTCCATATTACTTAAATTAAGGAAACATTTTTCTCAGCTTTACTTCATTGTCATTACCAAAGGGACTCAAAATCTCCAAAGCACACTTAAGACACTGAATTGTGCCGTAACGAGAAGGGCCTTCTGCATAGCGAGTGTGACCCTCCCTTCTAGAGGCTCTGGCTCTTGTCTTTGGCACACATGACAGTTTAATAGTTAGAAGGCACCTTCGAGGTCTGTTAGGCCAACTTCTCATCAAACGTCCCAAGATCCATAAGCCCCTTACAGTTCAACCATTCCCAAAAGGCAACCCATTCAGCTATTGAGTAGCTTGAATGTCCAGAAACCTGCTTCTTACAGTCTCTCTGCCCTGGTCCTTTAACTGTAGTTCTTTATAGCATAATGCTGTGGCTCTCACTCCAGACGGCAATGATGCACACTGAAGTTGGGGATGCACCGGGGTCTGACAGTAGAAAGAGGGCGGGGCTTTGGAATGAGGAGCGGTTGGCCCAGAAATCCAGATCCTGGCCCTCTGTGATTTTAGGGCATCCCCTCATTTTTCTCCTGGTCAGATGGAGCTGATGGGGGCAGCTAACTCACAGGCTTGCTGAAAGAATTCAATGATACCCCATAGGTAAAGCGCATAGCACAAAGTTCAACATACTGTCAGCACTCAAAATTAGCATGTAGTGTTACAGATTCATGCAACAGGTTTATTGGATGCCGTTGAATAACAGTCTTTGTAGAGCCCATTCATTTGATATTTAATGAGTTGAGAATAAAAGTTTTACATATAAGTCTGGGTGTGAGGCCGGGCGCGGTGGCTCAAGCCTGTAATCCCAGTACTTTGGGAGGCCGAGGCGGGTGGATCACGAGGTCAAGAGATCGAGACCATCCTGGTCAACATGGTGAAACCCCGTCTCTACTAAAAATACAAAAAATTAGCTGGGCATGGTGGCGCGTGCTTGTAATCCCAGCTACTCAGGAGGCTGAGGCAGGAGAATTGCCTGAACCCAGGAGGCGGAGGTTGCGGTGAGCCGAGATCGCGCCATTGCGCTCCAGCCTGAGTAACAAGAGCGAAACTCCGTCCCAAAAAAAAAAAAAAAAAAAAAGTCTGGGTGTGGTGGCTCACACCTGTAATCCCAGCACTTTGAGAGGCGGAGGTGGGCGGATCACCTGAGCATGGGAGTTCAAGACCAGCCTCACCAACATGGAGAAACCCCGTCTCTACTAAAAATACAAAATTAACTGAGCGTGGTGGCATGCCTGTAATCCCAGATACTAGGGAGGCTGAGGGAGGAGAATACCTTGAACCTGGAAGGCGGAAGTTGCGGTGGAGCCGAGATTGTGCCATGGCACTCCAGCCTGGGCAACAAGAGCAAAATTCCATCTCAAAAAAAAATTACACGTAGCACTCTGGACACGAAACTGGTAAATACCTGCATTTTACAGATGAAAAATCTGATATGCAGACAGGCTAAGTGACACGTTCAAAGGCACACAGCTGGTCCTGAAATTGCCGGAGCTCTAATTCTTGATAAAATGCCCAGCAGTCACCTTAAATTCCTTCAGAACAGAGTGGGATATAAATAAGAAAGCAAATGTAAGTAAACACATAACCAGCGCACCCAATAACGGGGAGGAATGCTCAGATAATATGAGCATGATGCAGTCACTTGAGTCATTCTTCACTGGGTTCCTGTGACATAAACGGAAGTCCTGTTGTTGGTGTCTGGAAGTCCTGGAAGTGCCTCCCAGCCCCTGGGCTTTCAGTCAACACATGTTTATTTGTCACTTTAATGGAGCAATAAAATATCTAGTCCTGGGACTGGAAATACACAAGTAGGGATTTCAAATGTACATTATCTGAGTAACTTTGACATTTTTGTACAGAATTCTGATGATTCCAACCAGAGACAAAACTTTTATGGCACCAAGTGAAGTCGTCCTATACCACGTCTTTTAGGTTAACTGAAATCCCATGTATGACATGGAAAATTATATTCCGATATCACAAAATAATATGGAGGTATTTCTTGCCCTTACAGTCAACAAGAAATGAGGAGTCATTTTGCTACGCCCTTGCCTGGGAGAACGAAGAGGTTATTTCTTGCCTTCATATGCATGCACAGAAGTCTGTTTTCCACACTAGAAGGAATAAGCACCTTTCCTTTAAACAGTTGCCTTCCAGTTTTGTGTGGCTGTTGATATTACAGAACTAGTGGCAAAGGCCAAGGCAGAAAAACGAGCTGGGTTACTCACAACTCTTTGAATGTGGACACATCGGCTTGTGGGAAGGAAACTATTTAAAATGGGGCTTAGGGAAAGGGGGAAAAAAATCCCCTTTCCCCATATGAGATTCTTCCATGGTGTTGTCATGCAATCTTGAAAACCTCCATAGAACAGTAGATCACTCTCATTGGATATATGCAAATTATCTGAGACCCAGTGGTTTCCTGCCAGGAAAAACTTATAATAACAGAGCAAGAATGCAATCTGAGCCCTTGCTTTCTGAAATCCCTGAAAGAACAGACTCATTCTTGACAGGGCAATTTCAGCCCTTGACATTCCAGGAAATAGCTCCATAATGTCATTTGGGCTGGGCTTGTAAGCAGTACTGAGACGTAGAGACACAAATGCAGTATGTAAGACTTCAAATATCAGTTCACCAACCATTCTTAATTTTCTCATGGAGTTTAACGACAAAAACCACCATCAGAAGAAAAAACAAGCAAGCCATCCTAATTAAATTTAACATTGTCACTACTAATCAAACCCAATATAGGAAGAGGAAGGGTTTCTGCCAAGCAACTACAGACACATCCTGAAACCTATTTCCTTTCCATTTCCTTGGTAGTGGGTCCATGGTATATCCAGGATATGACACCCAAACATGACTGTATTTTGATCATTAATATATATGCATAAGTTAACCCCACCCAGGGGCCTCAAAGGCCTTTAGGAGACGTGCCAGCCTTCACATTTCGATGTGTTTCATTTTCTCTGGGTGCAGTACAGCTGAAAAAGGTTATGAGACTCAGGTTAAAAGTCAGGAAATGGATCAGGGCCCCACACTATGACATCATTTTCTTGCAATGCAACGAAGCCATGACATTTCCTGGAGGAAAAACTATGAGAGATGACAGGCAGCTTGGTTAGCTCCAGTATTTGCAGCAGAAGGTGTCAAGCCTGCAAGCCTCCAGCCCCAGCCTCCTTCCCTCCTGTTCCTTGGCTGGGGCTTCTCAAAAGTGAAGCGAGAGAGAACGAGAGCGAGCGAGAGCGACCAGCCCGCTTTTATTTTTTGATAGTCCTGGTATATTTTTAAATGAAGGAGTGCTAAAACTTAGTTATAAAAACTGTGTGATTTTTCATTATGAAAGCAATTAACACTCTATGACAAAAAATATATGTAATATAAGTTTGCAATTTAGAAAATAGTTTCCAGATTTATTTTTTAAAGTGACATATAGGCAGAGCCACCAGGTATGACTGTGCAGGTGGACCAAGGAGAAGAGTGGGGATTAGAATCTGGCTCGCTCTTCAGTTGCTAAACCTGGTGGAGAACTATATCTGCCTTTTTCTGATTCACACCAATGTCACACCACAAGTGATAGGTGGTCTTACAACAGGGCATAGGTTTCAGTGAACAATAAACCAGTCTCCTACTTTCAATCCTAAGTATCTCTCTGATTGTAGGAATGACATATCTTGGGGGTAGCTCTAGAAGTATAAATTTGAGGAGCTGCCTGATTTTGAGTCCTGGCCAAATGAACCTCCTGGCAGGTCACCCCAGGCACATAGGGAAGCGTTTCAGATTTACAAAAAGGTATTGTTGAGGAGATAACACAGGATGTGCAAAGCACACGGTTTGGAGACAGGAGCCCTGGACTAGGTTTCAGCCTGACCAGGTGCTTTTGTGCAAACTGCACAATCGTAGTGACACTACTGGCCTCCCATATGGTAGACCTTGGACTCCACATGCAGACGGACCTGCCCCAGCCCTTAAAAACCAGCTTAGAGACCTGAGTCGAAGCCAGAAGAGCTTAAGGCTCCAATCAACATACTGCGACGCCACATCAAGCCACACTTGATTCTCCATCTCTGCCTTTATGGCTGGGTTTAGATAGCTGGGCTTCTGCGTCACACCTCTGTTCCAGTGTCTGGGTGCCTCGTGGGTGCTGCCTAAAGCTGGGTGTCTGGTCGGCTTAACGTGCCCCTTCTGGGGACTGCATGAATGTTCCATAAACAACAAACTGAAGGGTCCAGGCTTAGGACTCTTTTTTCTTCTACGTGTCCTCCCCCTTGGATTCTCCTGGGAGTCAGCAGAATCCATCAAGCAGGAACTGCAAACATGACAGAAGAAAACAACTCGTTAAACTGTTGTTTCCATTTCAAAACAAAATACTAAGACACTTGTACTTCAGTGAATGAGAGCAAGCAGGGGTGAGAAGTTTCTATTGCAAAAAAAAATCAAAAAGTTATGACTTCAGAAATGTAAATTCCTAGTATCCTTGATAGATTTATATATGTAAGCAATGCTTCTAGATATGCCAGGTTTGCCATGAAGATTTAAGCTCTCTATGGCAGTTGAGTGGCTAGGTGTCAACCCTCGTGAATCAAGAGTGCTTCTATAAATCATTCCACAGTAACTGGTTGGACTTACAGCGACAAATGTGCTCTCTCCTGGAGAAATTAGCAAATATCTGAAAGGCTTATACATTTCCCCAGGATTAGTCAAAACACAAGCCTAGTCGTCACACCTTTCCCTCATCATCCTGTGGTTGTTTTCTTAAATGCTGTGCGTCTTCATAAATGAGTCACTCTTTCCAAGATCTGTCAAAAGTATCAGTAGTTATAAGGCTGGGAAGCATACCAACCCTAGAAAGAAGTACAGAACTTTCAGTTACAGGCAAGAATGTAAAATGTCCAGAATTGCTAGCGTTTTATTACTTTGCCAAATTTGCATTCTTACACCATCGAATCATTCCTTTTTAAGGATTCATTCTTTCCTATAGTTAAACCTAGGAGGGAGAAAAAGGTATTTATTTTACATGATATATTTGTATAATTACAAAATCTGGAGCCTGCATTTTTTACCATTTGAATAATGCTTCTGCTTGCCTATACACGTTGGAAGTGCTGTTTAACCTAAATACACAGATCAGACTTAGTTTAAGGGTCTACCCTTTCACCTTGCTCTAGGCAAGGAGAAAGATCAAAACTTTCTGTATTTTTAAGGATGACCCCGTCTTTGTTTTGAACACTTCTCACATCTCCTGTTTGTAGAAGCTCCTACAAAAACTGCATTGTTTTTCTATTCTATAAATCCTCTTCTTAAAAATAAGAACTGCATT